AAATTCATAAGAGTGATTAAAAGTCACAAGAATTTCATTACAATGTTTGCCAAAGAGAAGTTACAAAAAACAATGACATTTTTCATAAAAAGTCGTTTAAGTCTTAGTAAGCGCAAACCTTTAAATGTCTTCAGAACGTCCTAGGAAAGTCATAGTATAGTGTGCCATTAAAAAAAGTCATAGCATATTGCAAAACATTATAAAAATTGATTAAAAGTCACAAGCATTTCATTACAATGTTTGCCAAAGAGAAGTTACAAAAAACAATGACATTTTTCATAAAAAGTCGTTTAAAAAGTCAGAGCAGAAAATCATTAAACTGCAAAAAGTCATAGAAAATTTAATTAAATTCACAATAATTAGCAAATAATGTCCTTAAAAGGAGAAATGCCTTTAAGAAATCATAAATAGTTTCTAAAAGTCATTAATAATGACGTATAAAATACATTTCATTCTTTTTTTTTTTCTTTCTTTTTTTTTAAAGGTGATTATTACTCGTCATGATAAATATAACTTAAACCTTTCTTCTTTGTATGACCCAGTGGCTCACCTGGTAGGGCAGGTGCACAGTGAGCCAGGAAGAATCCTCGATGCCAGGGTTCGTATCCCCCCTGCGGCTGCAGTGCTGCTTTTCAGGACCAAAAAAAGCTAAAATTTGGGGAAAAAAAAAGATTTTCTGCAATTTTTTTTTTATCCTGACCTACTCATTCTGCTCTCCTACACTACCTCCCTCTCCTACCTCTCTTATCCTACCTGCCTCTCCTACTCTACCTGCGCGACGCGACACTCCTACGTTACGTGACCCTACGCTTCCTGCCTCACTTAGAACTACCTGAACTGCCTGCCTCACTTGCCTCATCTACTGTGCACTACCTGCCTCATCTACTGTGCACTAACTGCTGCAGCTACTCTGCCTAACTCAGCTACTCCGAGTATCGAACCCCGTACATGCTAAGCGACAGACCTGAACTCGACACCAGCGCCTTAATGCCGAGAACAGACCCAATCCGGCCACCATCACATGTACATGAAGACCTGTGCTCCGGGCGCATTTATCTTCTTCATTTTGAGTAAAGCACTTTAAAAATCACTATAGCTCACGAGGACTCGAACACGCAACCTCAGGTCTTCTGACCTGACACTTATCCCTCTGAGCTATCTGTCCTGAGATGATCACGTTTCGAAGAGCTTATGACCGGTTCATTTGGGTTTTTTAACCTTAAAGATTACTGCACCTGAAAAGCCTTGAACCCACAACCTTCAGTCTCACAGTCTGTGTTCTATCCCTCTGAGCCAATTGACCAGTGACTGTTACATCTCATTTGGTAAATTAATTCTCTACTTTGGGTAGTTAGACTTGGATAATGCATGGACCTCATGAGGATCGAACCCAAGACTCCTGCTCACCTGAGCAGCGTTGCATCCCATTAAGCTATTTCATTTGGGACAGTCTTAAGTTGTTTGGTAGATTATGGCACAAAAAAAATGTAAAAAAGGGAAATAAAATAAGTCATAGTGTAGTGCATCCAATAAAACTTAACTGAGTTAAGTGTCACACAATTATGCCACCAACATTTGTAAATGAGAAACCCTTCTCGACACTTTGTTCACATCATTTGGATGTTTTACCTGAAAAACAGGTGCAAATAAAGAGGATTGAACCAAGAACCTCCAGACATCAAGGTAGTGTCTTATCCCTTTGAGCCATTTGACCTGGGAAAATTATTTTCGTTTGGTAATCTAATTCTACACTTTGGGTGCTGGCCTTCAGAAAATCTCTGCACCTCATGGGGATCAAACCCAAAACTTCAGCTCACCTGAGCAGTGTCGTAACCCACTGAGCTATTTCATTTTAAATAATGGTAGACTTTGTCACAAAGAATAATATAAAAAAGGAAATAAAATAAGTCATAGTGCATCTGAAAGAAATATCAGAGAATCACACAATTGTGTCACAAACATTTGTAAACGAAAAACTACTCTGTACGCTTTTTTCACATCATTTGGATGTTTTACCTGAAAAACAGGTCCAAATAAAGAGGGTTGAACCAAGAACCTCCAGACATCAAGGCATGGTTTTATCCCAGTCAGCCATCTGACCTGGTCCAATTATTTTTCGTTTGGTAATCTAATTCTACACTTGAAGAGTGGGTGTTGAAGATCAGAGACATCTCTGCACCTCATGGGGATCGAACCTAAAACCTCAGTTCTTCTGAACAATAGTGCATCTCACTGAGCCATTTGATCTGAGTCTTTGGTATTGTGTTTGATAGACTTTGTGATACAAAGGATATCTCAAAAAGTCATACTCTGCACTACCTGCCTCACTTGCTATGAACTACCTGCCTCACTTGCTATGAACAATCTGCCTCATCTACTGTGCACTACCTGCTGCAGCTACTCTGCCTAACTCAGCTACTCCGAGTATCGAACCCCGTACATGCTAAGCGACAGACCTGAACTCGACACCAGCGCCTTAATGCCGAGAACAGACCCAATCCGGCCACCAACACATGTACATGAAGACCTGTGCTCCGGGCGCATTTATCTTCTTCATTTATTCACGTTTTTGGCACTGGCGGATGCGGAATTGCGAAACATTGGGGGGAACCTTCTCGTTGTGGGGGGGGGGGGGCGTAAAACCAGTCCCGAAGCGATCGGAGCTTCCTGTCAAGAGTTATTCAAGGAAAACCGATTTGCCTTCAGGCCTCCCTGAAGGTGCCCACCGAGTTTGAGGCAAATCGGTTTTCCTTGAATAACTCTTGACAGGAAGCTCCGATGGCTTCGGGACTGGTTTTAAGCCCCCCCACTATGTGAAGACACCCCCCAATGTTTCGCAATTCCGCATCCGCCAGTGCCAAAAACGTGTCATTCGGAGGTTGTTTTGTGATTTTGACGTTTGTGAGATTTTTCAAAGTATGCTTTCTGCACAACAAAAAAAAGAAAAGTTGTGCAGAAACCATACTTTGACCAGACCGTAAAACCGGTCCCGAAGCGATCGGAGCTTCCTGTCAAAAGTTATTCAAGGAAAACAGGTTGTTCAGAACGTGCACAACCAATTTGCTTGAAATGGTCGCAAGTCATTCCAACAGCTGGGAATACACACCCCACTTGATGTGTGCATTACCCCCACCCCCCTGAAGGTGCCCACCGAGTTTGAGGCAAATCAGTTGTGCACATTCTGAGCATATGCTAAGCAGCTGACCTGAACTTGGCACGGGCGCCTTAATGCCGAGAACAGACCCAATCCGGCCACCAACACATGTACATGAAGACCTGTGCTCCGGGCGCATTTATCTTCTTCATTTTGAGTAAAGCAATTTAAAAATCACTATAGCTCACGAGGACTCGAACACACAACCTCAGACTTTCTAACCTGTCTCCTATCCCTCTGCGCCATCTGACCTGAGACATTAATGTTTCGTAGAGCTTATGGCCTGTTCATTTGGGATTTTGGACCCTAAAGATTACTGCACCTGAAAATCTTCAAACCCACAACCTTCAGTCTCACAGTCTGTGCTCTATCCCTCTGAGCCACTTGACCAGTGACTGTTACATCTCATTTGGTAAATTAATTCTCTACTTTGGATGGTTAGACTTAGAAAATGCATGGACCTCATGAGGATTGAACCCAAGACTCGTGCTCACCTGAGCAGCGTTGTATCCCACTGAGCTATTTCATTTGTGAAAGTCTTAGGTTGTTTGGTAGATTATGTCACAATGAAAATGTAAAAAAGGAAATAGAACAAGCTATTGTGCAGTGCATCCAATAAAACTATCCTTGTAAGTATGTCATACAATTGTGCCACCAACATTTTAAAATGAAAAACTCTTCTCTATGCTTTTTTCACACCATTTTGGATGTTTTACCTGAAAACCAGTGCAAATAAAGAAGATTGAACCCACAACCTCCAGTCTTCAAGGCAGTGTTACTTCCCAGTGAGCCATTTGACCTGGGCCAATAAACCTTTGTTTGGTAATCTAATTCTGCACTTTGGGTGTTAAACTTCCAAAAATCTATGCACCTCATGGGGATCGAACCCAAAACTTCAGCTCACCTGAGCAGCGTTGTATCACCCTGAGCTATTACTGTAGATTGAGACAGTTACCTGTTGTTTGGTAGATTATGTGACAAATAAAAATGTAAAAAAGGAAATAAAATAAGTCATAGTGCAGTCCATCTGAAAAAAACTGTCCTTATAAGTATGTCACACAATTGTGCCACCAACATTTTTAAATGAAAAACTCTTCTCTAGGCTTCTTTCACACCATTTTTTTGTACTTCCTCTGTGGGAAATTGGACTTATAAAGTTACTGCACCTAATAAGAATCAAACACACAACCTCAGATCTTCTAACCTAACATCTATCACACTGAGCTGTATGATCAGATGTGGTTCCTTCATTTTGTTAGAGCTTTTGATTTCTTCTCTTGGTGTTGGATCTAACGATAAATTGATAAACATATTGCACACTGTGGGAGTTGCACTCACAACCTCATGCTTTCTGAGAGCTTCTTTATCACACTGAGCTAATCCATCTGACAGGCAGAGTTACATAAAAATACAGTATGCAATAAGAGCAACTCATGAAATAAGTCATTAGTTTAGGAGTTGAGCCAAAAAAGTCACATTACCTTAATAAGAATTGAACTCATAAAGCTTACAACGATCAAGTATGCATTAAAATGTTCTTAGTCGGCTTATCTTAGTACGCCGAAGAGTGAAAAATAATGTAATACAAACAATCACCTCTTAAACTTTATTGCACGGTCATTTTATTTCCAAAAGCAGGTTTTTAGGGCCTGTTAACACAGAGTATGAATACACAAACTGTTCAACTGCAATATTAAACATTTGAGGAAATGCATGAAGAATTTTAAAATAAAAACACCAAAATGGAACATTTTAAAATACCAAACCTGTTAACTAATTGATTTCAAAATATAATAATAAAAAAAAACTCTTTCACTTAACCAAAGAACTAAAATCTCTTAAAAAAACTGTAACTATAAAAACTTCTAATAATCATAAATCATCCAAAACAAATATTGATTTACAGAGCATATTCCCAATCCTTAATGTTAATAAACAAAAGAAAATAAATTCATACCCTCACTTTCTCCTTGAGCATTACATGGTAATGAACAATAAGCATGTTTCACTGAAACAACCAGCATCTGCCTTTTTTGGCAAATAATATAATAGATTGGACTGTCTGACTGACAGTGTTTCTGAGCTTCACTTAAGCATGTCAATATTTCCTTTCAGCAACTGCTGCACCTGAAGAAAATTAAAGAAATCAGATCAGCAATTAATAATTAGATGTTTCGACAACTTACACTTCTACACACTTATACTTAATAAACAAACAACCTATTATTGCCTTTGTTTGAAGGGATCAGAATTACCTTTTCCCCAGTGGGTCCTCTGGGCACCAGCTGACACGGCAGTTCATTTTCAAAGTTCCTGGCCCCGGGGTCCGCACCTTTCCTCATCAGCAGCTTCACAGCTTCCACTTGACGTTTATGATTTTGCAAAGAGCTGACAATGTGCAGGGCCGTGTTGCCGCTGAATGTCTGAAACGTACATAACCGTACATGAAATAACGTGCAGTGTGTGTGTGTGTGAGTGAGTTTCCCTGATTGCAAATACAATGACTAACCTTAGCATTTACAGCTGACTGCGGCTGGTCCAGGAAAATGTTGAACAGCTCCACGTTTGCCTCCTCGGCAGCCATGTGAAGACACGTCCTTCCACTTTTTTGATCCTGCACAAAACAATGCAAGCTTCAAAGTGATGCGACAAGAGTGACATGTACCAAAGTCAAATGATTTGAATAGTTACCTTCGTCCCACTGGAGGCTCCCGTAAGCAGGAGAGTCTTGATACACTCGACGTACATGTGTGCCCTCTGCGCCAGCTCCTTTGCCATATATGAGCACAGATTTCCCAGAGTCCTCAGCTCTTTAACCACAGCGTTGTGAGACAAGACAGCTGCATGCAATGGAGTTAAACCTGAAAACAGAGAACAGCAGGGTTAAATCACAAGGACACTTCCTACAAACCAGCTTTAAACTTCAATAAAACATACTCACCATCATAGTTGAACATTTCAATATCCACCTGCTGACCAGTCACCTTTAGGGTCCTGCAGATGCTCTGTGGAAATACATGTGTTGAAAATAGGTCAGAAAAAAAGTAGCTTTAAGCATTTTAATGGGTGCACAAGGGATACAACGTTATGAATTTGAAATGAAAACTGTTATTATTAATTGCATCGAGACAGCACAGCAGAAGAAAAACAACAGCAAAGAGAGATCAGCGGAGTGGTATTCAACATGTAACACCTCACAGAGAGAGACAGAGGAACAACAGAGTCAGCGTGAGGATGCAAAGGGGAAAGGAAGAAATCACAGGGGAAAATCTGAGAGGAAAATCAGCCAAATCTGCACTACAGCAGGGATTCCCAACAAGAGGGGGGGCTTCTGCAGTACAGAAGGGGTGCAGCTCGACCAATTTAATAACAAAACTAACAGCATGTCCTTATGATCTACTCAGACACCGCGGCAATACATTTGCAGTCCTTACATTTCTACCTTCTGTCACTTTAAGAACAAATGCAACAATTAAAAAATAACAATTCCAATAATCCTGTCAAAATATAGTGGAAAAGGTTTTCAAATAATACTGTGGAGATTTTGTTGGAAAGCTTTTTTTTAAATGTATGAAAAATTCATATATTACTATAAACAAAAAAAAGAAGAAAGATAAAATACTGTGATAATATTGAAAAAATATCTAAATTGTCCATTTACTGCTGTAAATATATTGTTGAAATTGCAGGGAAAGAATACGATTTTGAAACAATTGCAGTGTAGAAATACTGTTAAAAAAACTGAAAAATCACTATAAAACTAACAATACGACGGTTGGATCGCTGGATAAAGTTCCTTAGTCAAATGGTTGGATTTCATTCAGCATTAAATTGTGATGGAACACTTTGTATATATTCAAAAGTGGCTCCTCTGACATTAGAATCCTAACCACCAAAACGTATCATCGCCATTACTCTGCAGCCATGACAACGGCATCAATAACCAGATCTCTGAGGCTTCCTCTCAACACAGCCCATCTTCCACCGCTCAAAGACGGATATGCTAACAAGTAAGACCATGAGGAGGCAACGGGGAAACCAACCGGCCACATCTGGGAGGTGAGGTCCTTCATTTAGAAGCTTTTAGTAAAAGAGAGATATTGCAATTCTAGGTTTTCATGAGGAAATAGGCCTGGTGCACCCACTATTGTTGTCTCCAGGGCCAACGGTGCTTCAACAAATAATGTCCCACTGTCAAACGCATATTGCAACAACCTGGTAGCCTAAATGCCATGCTTAGTTTCCAGCTTTGGCAAATATCCCAGCATCTTTAAAAAATATATATAATTGCACTTATATTAGGGCTTTTATGTTGCTTACAAAAGTATATTAGCTTATAAAGCCACACAGGTATATACATTATCTTTATGAAAAGGTCAGGGACCACATCTTCAAGAGAAGTAACATGTTCAACAACATTTGAAGACTACTTGTGACAGTTGTAGTTAGTTTTATATATTTATCTTCCATTTTATTTTTCTTATGTATTAAACCTTTTTATACTGTCTTTTGTATTTTTTTTTATACTGAGTTTTAACCAGTTTGTGTCAACACAATGTTTTTGTTGCCTTGCCTTGTTGTCCAGGAAGCAGCCCATGACCGAATATCAGGAGAAGTTCCTCCCCCCAATCTCCTACAAGTCTTTTGTCACCAATTCCAAACCAAACGGGCCCTACCACCCGCTGAAGGGGACCAGCGCTGAGACGACCTCTTTTAGGTGAGGGTTAACGTCCGGTGAAACGGTTCCCTCTGGCTGTGGGAACCCTGAGGTCATCACTCACAGAGCGTAGGGAGAATTTGGGAGGATTAAGTGTTATTTTGTATCTGTATAAGACGGACAAAATAACAAAAGCTAAATCTTGCATCGTTAATGTGTTTCAGAAAAGTCTATGTGACCCACAAGGCGGTCCCCATGCCACCAATGGCCCTGCCGCCGCTCCCCCCCCCGAAAGACTACCGCAAACGCATTGTGTTAAATTTGGGTTAGAAAAAGTACACTGCAATAATAAACGTGTTCCTTTCTCTTCGAGTTGTGCTGTTTAATTTCCTGAATTGGGATCAATAAAGTATATTTGATCTAATTTGAAAGTGCAAATAAAACACAAGCTCTTACATTTGTGTGGATCCAGGGCAAATTGATTCTGAAGGCAATGTCGGACAAAGTAAATCTAAACGTCTGAAACTGTTGGCCGGCAATGTTGAAGTACCTTGACCTTTGCAGGGAAAAATAGCAGCCCTTCTGCTCTCTGAAAGATTTAAGTTTCACTTACGTCATCAAACTTGTTGACGTCGTTGGAAAGGAGGTTGACGATCTGGCCCGTGGTGGTCTTTCCCATGTGTGTCACACAGATGCCTATTTATTTATTTAATTATGAATGTCCATGTTTGTACTAGTGTTTTCCTTCTTAAAATGTTTTTGAAATATTTTGAGATTTGGTTGAGCAGGGCATACTTGTACTTTTAACTAGTCCACTCCTTTTATTAGAGATGTGTTTGTTTTTAGTGCCAGGATGGACCCCTTGTCTTTTTCTCTGCAAACTAAATCTACCTACGGGTACAAATAAATAACCTGAACCTGAAGTGCTCCAGCGACGCTCAGACACACAGTTCAATCTTTAAGAATATTTGATGGTTTTTCTCAAACAAGGTACATGCATTTTCTCAACGTTTTTATAAAAAGCGTTTGTGTAATTTCATTTAATGCCTTTCTTTACCAATTATAGATTGTAATCATATTTTGAAGTTGTCTTTTTGGTGTGATAATACATTAAAATAATGTAGATACAATGTTTTTATTTATTGTGAAATATTCTTCTGATATTTTTGGGGTGATTTTCAAATTTCTTAAATGTTATGTTCTTCTGAAAATGTTTGATACCATCAGATGAAGGTTGCAAAATGATCAATGTACTGAATTTTAACGCTGGGCATCAAAGATTTATCTCATCTGATCTTAAGTTTATTTCCTAAAAAAAACAGTTGATCTAAAATGATTGACACCTATAAATCATCTTGAAAAAAACATTACTACATTGACCTTTCAAACCTTTCTCTTGTTTTTACCCCACACACACACACAATAGGGGAAAAGAGTGAAGGCTGTGTTGCATAAACAAACAAGGCAAAGAGAATGTTTGCACCAGTGACAGAACCCCAACAAATACACCAAATAAAGCCTTAGTGAGCCCACAACCGATCTCACAATCACATTTTAATTTTAATTTGTTTCCAAAACATTACCTTACATGTCATCACAGTCTTCTTCCAGTTAGACCTGGTGTGTTTACACTGTCGGTACCTGAAATAACGAGGTACAAACACAAGGCGTTTACAGTTCAGTGGAGGATTAGGGGCGGAGCCAGGAGAGACATTTTCACCAGGAGAAAACGCTGCAGGGACTCTGAAGGTTAAATGTGAATGTTATGAATGAAGCTCTTAACTCTGCAATACAAGCACATCACACTATACCAACAGCAGAAAGGCCATGTAAGTGTAAAGAGATAGGCAGTCTAAAATCTAGAGGGGGGGGGGGGGGGGGGTCCCCAGACTCCACCTTTTATCCTTTAATGTACAGAGTGATGGCAGCAGAAGTCCAGTATTCTTTTTGTATCAACAATGATGTCATCACTGTCAAATATAAATATAGAAAAAGACTAATACTTTTGAGAGTCTCTTCTCTCAGTCTGTGCTTCGGGCAGACTCATTTCTTCTTCTTGTCCTGCGTGCTGGTGAACCACTGGTCCAGCAGCTTCTTGCTGTAGTAGATCTGCCAGACGTGCACCTGCACAGCGATGATGATCACCAGGTACATGACGGTCACGGCGGCGAAGCCGAAGATGAAGCGGTACGATTTGCCGTGCCGGTAGAGCTGGTGTGCCACGGGGAACATTTCCATGCTGCCGTAGATCAGAGGGGCGATGCAGAACAGCCCGCCGCTGATCATGGAGACCACCAAGTAGCTTATGTTGTTGCGGGGGAAAGCCGAGAAGCTGAAGACTGTGGGAATTATGCTCAGCAGGTAGGGGTACTCCCACTGGTATGGAGAGCAAACCACCTTGTGGGACACCAGGCTCAGCTGGCTCACAATCACCTGAAAAGAGAACCACACATCAGACATCAGCTCGGGTGTTACAACTGTCAAAGAAAATCATTTTTCAAAAGGATTTTTATTACCTGAGCTGCCATCAGGACCCAGATCAGGACGTGGACGATGTTGAGTTTACGGATTTCAGACTTCAGGGCCACGCTGTGAGGGGTACAGTTGCAAATGCAAACTGAATTCATGCACGTTTTTTAACAATTATGAACTGAATCTCTTAACAGTCACTTGTAAATCAAAGTGCAGGGACAGTTGCATTTCACTAGTCAGGAGTTGGCATCCATCTAATATTTCTCTCCAATTAATTCATTTTTTGTAAATGAACATACCTCATCTGGTAGTGTGAGGCGACCTTCTCTCGGTGCTGGAAGTCACTGCCATCCGTGCCCGAGGCTCGTGGGCCTGCTCGAGATGCCATAGTGGAAATCTGGAAGCAAAATGTAACACGTTTACATCATTGTAACATAAAACATTTTAAAACAGCATACAAAAGAACCAAGATTAAAAACGTTTCTTCCCCATTCTGATGCCGGTTGAACTTCACCAGGTCGTCTTGAACATGTCTACATGCCTAAATGATTGAGTATCTGCCATGTGATTGGCTGATTAGACATTAGTGTTAACGAGCAGTTGAACAGGTGTACCTAATGAAGGGGCCAGTGAGTGTACTTACACTTCGCCTTCGCATACGTTGCATGGTACGTATGCTTGGCTTGTAACGTCCTCTCAATTAGCATTTAAGTCTAACAAGCCAAAAGCCTTATTTCACTTCCAGCTACATTATTACCGTTGGCAGGTTACTTTAAATCAGTTGCGGCATGTATACATTATGCAGTCCATAGCTGTGCTAACAAGCTAGCAAGTCATACAGACGAGAGTTAGCTTGGTAGATTGAGATAAATGAGAAGCTAAGACGCCAAACTGTCACGAAAACTAAGTCGAAACGTATTAGATGTTAATCATAGCACTTACTTTTTATCTGCTGCTGTCGTGAATAGAAACATAAATCATAAATATTCTGGTCAAAACAGGGAGACGTTTGAGCTGACAAGACCCGAGTAGGCAGGAAGAAGAAGCGAAGGCATCGTCGACATGACGATGCAACTCTGATTGGCCAGACTCTTTCTCGCGTTATCTCGCAGGTTCTCGTTCCTTCTCATACGTGGAGGTTCCAGCAGAGGGCACCAAAGTTCTTCTAATGCAGTTCTCCATCATTTCAGTCAGTTTTATATATACAGTCTATGGTTTTAGTTCAAGACTGACTATCAATTGACTTTCCTCTTGTATTATATAAAAGAGTGACTTTTGATCAATGTGACTCAGACCTTTTGACAACACTAGTACACTACATTTAAGAGGGAACATATTATTATAAACTATTATATTTATTTGACAGTTCTAGTCGTAAACAAATATATTACTATGTTTGCCTTTTAAACATGTATTGTATACCTGTGGTGTTTATTTTAATTATTTTATTATCTTTGCTTTGTAATGCCTGTTGTAAAATGCCATTATATAATGTGTTTTTTCTGTATTTATTCCTAAAAAGTATTTTAATTTGTTTTGTAAAGCACTTTGAATTGTCGCGTACAGAAAAGTGCTATATAAATAAACTTGCCTTGCCTTGCCTTATTGATTTGTGTATACATTAGTTTAAACTGGCTCCACCTTTAAAAAGCTAAGCAATGCTTCTGCATAATGAGCAATCTTTATTTTTAGAGTACTTTTACCCAGAAAGTATTTTTCTTGCATGTAAACTGTTGAATATACTGTAGTATTCAGTTCTCAGTGGTCACAGACTTGGCTTGTGATGACACCAGATGGATTTTGTTACAAAGGTCATTTTTCCAAGATGTCTGACCCATATGTGGCAATACATAATTATTAGAGTAAAAACCCTTTGACATTGTGGTGATCTTTTTTGCTATTTTATTACAACTAAACTGTACCAAGTTATTTTTTTAAGAATAATATACGTAGAAAATAGCTCAAATGTGACGACATAAAAATAGTCAGGACAAATGTTTTTTTATTAGAACAATATCAATCAAAGCAACACAATTCACATATTTAAGGCAGTTTCCCATGTAATGCTGTTCATCATTGTCCAAAGAAAATTAAAATAGGTAAGAACAAATAAGAATTTCATTCCAAAAATGGCACATCCACAGTTTAAAGAAATACAGTACAAAATAAAAAAATAAACTGACACATGGTTTTATTGGGTATGACTATGAAAATATGTTTTTTGAATGTTTGTGTTATGTTTTGCCACAGAACATTTATGATCTGCATCTTCAAATTAATTCCATCATTTAATGTTAACACACACAAATTAATACAATCCCAAATAATCAGTAGTCAAACAAATAAATTACAGAGAGTACTGACAAAGTGACAACAACCTTTTAAAGAATTGATGTCAAACAAAAAACTAAAACAAATCATGACATCGATTTGTCAAAAGCAAATATTCCAGGATAGTTCAACTGCCAACCTTGGACAAAATGAGAAGTAAAACATGACCATGTAGTTATTCTTATTTTAATGTCAAATTCATATGTTTACATTTCTTAAAATAATAGAAAAAGACTTTCAATAACTTAATAACTGTATGATTACCCAGCGTTCGGTACTGATAGCTGTAAGTGAAGTCATTGTACATCAAAACCGATATGTTCTTATGTGCCCAGTATACAGCGAAAAATGAGGGAAAAGTGAATACGACTTAAAGCCTTAATGCTTCAGGAATTACCAGGCCCTGACATGAACACTGATATATTGTGTGTAGATGGATATAAGAATAAATGCACAATGTAAACATACGATAACTATGACAATTGAGATATTTTGAGGTACATTTTTTTACCGCTGCTCTCCAACATCTCTTACATATATTAGACAAGGACCAGATATATTCATACAATGGAAATACTCTGGTCATCGTTCAATAACTGCATCACTTTTATGGACTCCATTGGTGTATGTGATGTAGGAAATGCAAAGAAATATCCAATGGAGTATGTTGTTACTTTATCTCAAAAGTCTATTCTGCCAAACCTGATTGTAAACCTTTTACCAGGACCTACATTGTACCTTTAAGACTATAGTAGTTTGAACACAAACATGGTACAAAATAGCATGAATGTGTCATTCTTGTTGCCATTTTTTACATGGGGTACAATAAGAATCCGGAAAACGAAGAGTGGACATATTGACCGGCGTAAAGTCCTGAGGCCTGGTCGGACGGCAGCTGTATATGCACGGTGTCTCCTTGTCGTAACGGGAGTACTGCGCTCCCCGATGCCTGATCCAGCAAGCCCTTTGAGTATTCGTCGTATGTGTACATCACTGGCTCATTGTTCTTCGTCAGTGCTACCCACACGTTACCCCCTTTGCAGTGGACGTGGTAAGCAAAATAGTAGACCCCTGGTACGCTACAGGTAAAAACACCATTTTGGGGGTTGTAGTTCTGATTTCCATTGTGCAGGAGTTTGTCAAATATGACAGGAGATCCTACAGGCGGGAACGGAGTAGTGAGCTTTGCTGTGAACGCAGGCATCTCGACGCCATTTCCACCTATGTCGCCTCCATTTTTCTTCCAACCTTGTTTTGTGCCAGGGTATGGGCCGGTCACGGGGAGGACCTGTCCGATGTCAGGAGATCCAGCAGGCAGTCCTGGAGGACCGGGGAGTCCGGGTTGTCCAGGTTGTCCTGTAAGTCCAGTAGGGCCACTTGGCCCAGTGTTACCTTGAGGACCAATATTACCAGAGGGTCCTAGTTTTCCCTCACCAGGATAGCCAGGTTTACCGGGTAGGCCCGTTTCACCTTTTGGCCCTGGCATCCCAGGAGGTCCGAGTGGTCCCCCTGGTCCTGTAAGCCCTGGGATACCTTGTTGTCCCTGGTAGCCTTTCCCTCCAGTTTGTCCCGCCGCTCCCCTCGGTCCAGTTAACCCTGCGGCACCAGGGGTACCAGGTGAACCCCTCATACCAGCTTCTCCTTTAGGGCCAATGGGTCCTTGAAAACCTCTCGGCCCCGGTTGTCCTTCCCCGCCTGAGAAACCCGACTGTCCTGGAAGACCTTGGGGGCCTATGTCACCCTTCATTCCTGGATTTCCTTTTTGTCCCGCAAATCCATCCTCTCCCTTTTGCCCCGGGAACCCGAGACTACCAGGAACCCCTATTGGTCCCGGTGGCCCGGGCATTCCGCTAGGACCATTAGGACCGATGACCCCTGGAAGACCTCCGTGACCTTTGTCTCCTTTTAGGCCCGGAGGTCCAGTAAGACCACCATGTCCAATGTGACCCTTAGGTCCTGGAAACCCTGGTTTACCATAACCTGGCATGCCTGGACCCCCTGGTAAACCGTGAGGGCCCGATTCCCCTTTCCCTCCAGGGGGCCCTGGCTGCCCTCTGAAACCATCATTTCCTGGTTTTCCAATTCCTGTCAAGCCTGCTGGTCCCGGTTGGCCTCTTTCACCAGTAGGCCCCGCCAGTCCTGACTCTCCAGAAGTACCAGTTTTTCCTGGTATTCCTGGTTGTCCAGGGACACCATTCATGCCAGGTTTTCCAAACCCGGGGCCGCCCGTATTGCCAGGTTGACCTGGTGGTCCGCTCGGTCCTTTCAAACCTGGTAAACCAGGTTGACCGTACCCTCTGTCTCCCTTGGGACCTGAAGGACCAGGAAACCCAGGTGGACCTTTATGGCCAGGCTCCCCTAGACGACCAAGCTGGCCTGGCAGTCCCTGACCTCCTGGTTTCAAAATCCCTGGAAGTCCAGGGGGACCTGGGCGCCCGGGAGGCCCAGGAAGTCCAGTTGATCCTCCACCACCATTAGAACCAAGGTCACCTTTAGGTCCTGGTAATCCAGGCCCTCCAGGTTTTCCTGGCAATCCTGGCATGCCAGGTTTACTGAGTCCTTGGTATCCTTGAGGACCAGGCGGCCCAGGCTTCCCTGGTTGCCCGGACAATGCCTGGCCTGGTAGCCCGTGTGGTCCTTGTGGTCCTGGCGGTCCTGGGGGGCCCTGAATTCCTTGTGGTCCCTCTCTGAGACCTTCAACAGGACGAGGTGGAGGAGGGCCTTTCGCCCCTCTGAAGAATGTTTGGCCTGTAAACAGAAGGGAACAGAGGTGGATAGAGGTGCATATTGATCAAATAAATCCACACTGATCAATAAAATACATCAATCACAACTAAAGTCGTGAAATCATTTGATTAAATGTATGATCACATATCAAGACAAATGAAGATTTGAACGTTGAAGAAAATGTCAAATGCTTGTGTAATGGTGATCATGTTTAATCCTATAAAGACAGACGTGTTGCACCTGCTCTAAGCATCGTAGGTGCAAAAAGACGTGCGAAAAAGCGCACAACAGCAGCACAGCTGAACCTCCCTGTACGATTAGCCTGTTTGTAAGTGATTCAAATTCAGATGTGTATTTTTGTGTGTTTCACTTTTGTCTATGTCATTGCTGTACAATTGGGGTCATTTCTTTCAGCCCTTCATTCATATTGCAAATAATACTTCAGTATGCATTTTGGGAGTTGTCCAACAAAACCGAATGATCCGATTTAAATACACCTTTAAAGGTAAATATCCCTTTGGCGACATTTTTTAAAAGGAAACCTGTCCATTACTCAATCAAAACTGTCTTTATGATATTTCAGCTAAAGTGTATATAGCTTAGCTTAACTGGCAAGTATTAAGTGACTAAATTACTAGGAGCTATTTTCCACTAACCTAAACGGACCTTACCTTTGCCTGCATTCATTGGCCTCTCTATGCCCTTTTGTAAAGGCAGTGGAGGAAGATCCTTTCCATACTGAGGCAGTAATGGCCCTTCATTGCCATAAGGCAGGTGTGGCATCTCGTTCCCCAAAAACTGCTGCTGAGGAAACCCATCGTTATACTGTGGCAAGGGCGGGGGCTGGGGCTGCGGGGGGGGCTGCTTAGGTCCGTAATAAGCCCCTCCGTTGGCCAGGTGTAATAAGCACAGCTGGAACACTGTGACATAGAAAGTGTGGAGAGGTACAGCTGCCATTTTTCTGCAGTGGAGAAGAAAGTAAAAGGAATAAATTGCAACACAGTGAATACGGTTTTTATGCAGCTCTGAAATAATAGAACGGGAAAAAAAGCATTTGTTCAGATTCTAATTGACTTCCAATAGTGTTTTCACACATTTTAGAACTTAACTAGAAATTGTTGATGTCTCCCTTTATATGGGTCGGGATTTCTTTGTCTTCCCACTCACTGAAGTTACGTTTATTCTCTCGGCAGAAAGTAATAAGAGATGGGGAAGAAGCGCCGCATCTGCAATAAGCTGTGTTCACCTGGATATATACAGTTTCACCAGCAGGCGGTGCTCTCTCAGAAATAATGAAACCCTCCTTTGCTCCTGCTCTCCCCTTGTTTACACATCTATTCAAACACACTTTGTAAAAGCCTCAGAGTCTCATATCCTTGAGGTGAATTACACAAAGCGCTTGCTGCTAAAACATATATCGTAATTAAGGGGCCCCACAGGGGAGGTGGTCAGCACTGAACATAATCCTTAATCCTTTAAACATGTCTGTGCTAAAGAGATTGGAAAAGTGCTGCCAAGAGCACAGTGTGAAAATAAACAGGGATGGTTGAATGTATGTTTTCCTGCGCTGTGCTGTTTGTGTGCCCTGAAACAGTACCAAGACATTTTTGGAAGTAAGACTCGCTCACATTTTTCCGGGCAATCGCTAAAAAAGCAAACTATAGTGCCGGGCCTAATGCGTTTAGTTCACCAGTGCAATAAGTGTGTAACAGGTATAAATGGGTCGCAACAAAAAAGCTACTTTAAAGGGGACCTATCATGCAAAATGCACTTTTGTACGTCTTTTATACATGAATATGTGTCCCCGGTGTTCCAGGGAACTCACCAAGTGTCAGAAAACACAACCCTCTCTATTTTCCTCCATACCAAAATCTCTAAAAAAGGGGCTGCAACGGATCTGATAAAAACTGATCCAGATTTGAACACTGTCCTGACATCAGGACAGTGGCGCTACGGCTATTGGGCCAACTCCACCAATCAGGAGGAGACAACCACGGCATTGCCGTTCGAAAGCGCTGGAGACGTTGTAGTACATATGCCAGGCCTCTAGATGGTGCTGTTGCTCACAGAATCAACCCTTGCAAAAACAGAGCTAACATTTTTCAAATTGAGCGAAATGAGGCATGGCTAAAATGCATGATCTGTTTGGTATTTTGAAAAAAAAAAAGTATAAATATGCCTTATATGCCTTATGGTCCTACACTATATTATTCAAATATAGCATGATAGGTCCACTTTAATTGATTCATTTAAAGCATTACAATAGTTTTTTTTAAACAAATAGTAGGAATCAGTTTGACCTAATCGGATCTCTTATGGTTCAGTTGTGCAAAACGTCAAATTCTCTTACTTTCAGATATCCTCCTGCGTTTCTCCTCTCCTTCACCTCACTTTAGGTCGTTTTTCCGGTTCTTTTCCAGGGCGCGAGTAGGACGGCGGCCATGCACGGGAGGAGCAGCCAGGTGTTAGCTGCAGTCCTGCTGGCCCTGTGAAAATATGAATGTCAACTTCGATGGATGTCAGATGGTGACCTTTCGCAGAGGCCTGGGGTTTGTAGCACTAAGCTGCCATCTCCACCTGGTAGACATATTTGGGCCTTGATACAGTAATGCGGAGACACACCTCGTTCCTTGAGGAATGTAGGGAGGGTTGTATCAAAATAAATGTCACTTTAAAATTACAAATCTATATCTTTGTATCCTGTAAAAAAAACTAGGTAATAATACATAACATGTTCCGCTACAATGTTCAACTTTTAAGATGATAACTAGTCCATTTTAAATGTTTTGACAGTGTGCCTCATCACACCCATCCCACTAATGTCAGTGCACTTTCAAAGTGAAAGAAGATCTAATGTATAGATCCAGCACCATGGACAGAGCCTGTCTACCTGTGAGACTCAACTGATCCGCTGGCCATACATTTCATAACACCACATAGAATCCAAACACCAGCAGAATCACATTGCAAATGTACAATACATTTAAAAGCTGTTGTCGAGATGGTTTTAATCTTTTGTCCGGAACATTGGGCAATCAAATGACAGGAACACGATTATATTGAAACAAATCTGGTAAACTGACTGAAACTAGGTCGCTTAAGTGCTTCAATGCCCAGACTAAACAGACTAAACTAAGGCAGAACTAGAGCAAAACATCTCTTTCAGATATAAAACCAGCACTGGATGGATCCAATCCACAAGCATTGATCTTCTTAATTGAACATGATTTCTCACATGTGGATTTCAAACTGATCATTTCTAAGGTCAAAATCCCTTCTACTCCCACAAGGAAAAGGGAACATATGCTTGGCGAGGAAATGAGACGACCACCGTAAAAAAAAAACAAGGAGGACAGAGCTCTGCTTTGAAACACATGTTCCCTCCGACTTCCAAGGATACGTCAGGTCTTTATTAAGCAGACAAAAACACATCGGATCCATTCACTGGAGATGCATGAGTAGCAGGGATCATATTGGAAGTTGGATGCAGCTTCAGAGCTTCATCAGCGGGGACCTTATGTCTAAGACACGCATGGGTTAAGGACAATATAAGCTAATGGAAGGACACTTTTGTCCACATGTGGTTCAAATTCATACATGCAATTGGCTGAATTTCACATGGAAACCCATAGGTTTGTCTCCATAGCCAAACTAAATGTACTCAACTGTACTGTATTACTCTGAAGAACAAGACTTTGAATTCCATATCAGCAGTCCTCCAGACAGTGTAATGGGGATGATTTCTGTCTTTCAACTTCATAGTCTTTTTGTGTTAAATAACAGTAATGATGGCTGCATTCCACATAGGTCCTGGAGTAGGAACACTTAATGGAACTGAGCCATTGTTTACCCACAGAATTATGGTTGAATTATAAGGATACTACACGTTTGAAAAACCCTGTTCAGCTAAAGTTTTGACCCAATTGAAGTATTTTCCGAAGTATGACTCCTTCAACCCTTGTCACAGGTAATTTCCAGGAAGAACATTCTCCAGCACAACATGAGCTTTCAATTAGAACAAGTGTGCGCTGATGGAACAAGATTTGTTGAGTTATTTTAAAGTAAAGGCCCTGTGGAGCTGTACAGTAATTCCATTGAATGCTTGATCTTTCAAGGTACAGCCAATGTTTCTTACAAAATAACTCCAACCAGAATTTCCCTTGCAAATAGGGGAGTTTAGTCTAAGATATCATCCAGGGACTACATCTAGAGTTCATGACGTTGGGAAATGAGAGTGTATAATGAGCTGGACTTTCAGATATTCAGACCAAAGCTTCAGATGAAAAGTGATTCCTCTCTGATGTTTTTTAACATTCAGAAGTATGACATTTACGGCAGGAAAGCACAGGTGTATTTGATCACTTTAATGGCCGCTGCATTCCTCTTAGGGGAGGTGTGTGTATTGTGCGTGCTGGCGCAGAATAATAGACACTTAAAAAGTCAACTAAACACCAGAAATATACTTCTCGTAAGTGATGATAAAAAGTATCAACATGGGCACAGCTGGGAGGGAGGCTGCCACACACCTGGTCTGTTGTTCTCATCACTTGCCATAACCAGTGTAGCATTTCAATCACATTAGAAGTGTCATGAGGTCTGTCCCTTTACCTCCATTGCTTTTCATGTTTGTGTTCTCAAATCAGAAGCTATTTGATTTGTCACCTATAACAGAACCGAGACACAAAAACAGATCCAGGCCATGTTTTCCTGCAGTAAAAAACATTGCTGTGAAAATGGTCCATTGGGTCAGCTTCACCAGACAATGTTAACAACTTTTTTTCCAGCTACTGAACTTCTTCTCACAAGAACTTCTGTGTATATCCTCATCAACATTTATCCATTCTATGCCAAAGTGAAACGAGATGATTGGTTCCAGTCTAATCTGCCTAGTAGCACCTCAACAATCCACACATTTACACCTCATATCTTGTTTTTGAAATTTCTTGGCCAGATGCCGTCATATCCCCCAGCAATGAAGGTAATTCAATTGAATTGCAAACAAAAGCACATCACTTCCATGTACAAAAGTCTGGCATTCATGAGACAACACTGCTGCTCACGGGATGACATAAATATCGATTTGGCATCATTGGTTGCAAGATAACGCATTGCAATTCACTGGGGGAGTTGTACCGCTGCATATTTGCACGTTATGCAGCCCTTTGACTTTGTGTTATTGATGCAGCATGTTACTGAAAGAATTCCATCCGGCTGTATATGTATTCAGATGGTTCCACAATAAATATCTACACGACGTGACCTCCTTGAATCTCAAAAACAAAGACGGAGCAAGAATCCTTTCCTTTTGCAGGCACCTCCTTCGCCCCTTCGCTTGATGACAATCCCATGCAACAAAGACTGCCCCCCCCCCCCTCCCCAGAATGGATGTTGGTTCCTATGAAGCTCTCTGCCAACACTTACAACCACAGCCGGCCCCGCTTGGTGATGAGCCACAAGTCTTTTATCACCTCCAGCTTTGGCTTTGAAAAATAATCAAATTTCCATTTCTCCTCTGTGTTCCTCTGCTGACTGATTCCAGATGCGGGACTCTCGCTCTTGATAAACAAACGATGAGGAACAGAGGCATGTCATTGCTTACAGATACGGGTGCCAGTCTTAATTGCCTGTGGTCACGTCTGGCTTTTGTATTTTATTTCAGAGGGTCTTTCTTTCACAATAACAGAAAAGCATACCACTATTGTACCTATGTGAAGACGCACTATTCACATGGCTGACGAATCGTGTGTTATTCATGATTCGCAGTGCCCGTAAACCCCGTATTTATTCAGCAACTACAGCAGTTTGAAAATCATGTAATATACATGTAACTTTTCAGAGCAGTGCGAAAACGTGTACACACACACAAACACAAAGGAATGCAACGATCAGCTGACAGAAGCATTAGAAGCGCCAAGTCAACATCTGTGGATGCACCTGTACAGTATGTGTGTGTGACTATTTGCATGTGTGTGTGAGTTGTTGCTGTTGTTACATAACTTGTAATAGCGAAACACTCAACAACTGTGACTCTCCTGCTCTCACTGCATGTGGAGCTTCTGCATTAAAAAGAGTACTTTATACATTTTCCATCCACCAATAATAATAATGTTTGGAATATTGGAGTTGAATATTTCTTGTTTCATGTAATATAATTCAAGATACATCTGAAATATGTGTCTGCCTTTTTCATGAGTAATGTCTTTTTTTTTCCACAACTAGAAAAAACATATCTGATTTGTTTGTATCTTTAACAAATCATACTATTGAGCCCTCAATATGGTAATAAGGTGTAAATCTCGCGCCAGGCCGTACCCATATCTGCAGCAGGTCTCCAAGGTGAACAGCCTCTGGCATGTTAGATCAAGGTATATATGACCTAATTTTTCAATCACTGCTGATGAAGAATCAGGTTTTATACCAAAAATCATGTCAAATTGTGGTATTCTGGGATATACATGCGCACAAACCAATCATAGGTCGAAACATTGAGAAATACAGCTTGATTATAAAATCACAAGTGGAAATGAAAGTTGGATCTTTTTGTTCCCAGACTTTTGTTAAATCAGATGTGTTTGTTTTCTTAGTCTCAGTCTCTTGCTGCATTATTCTCACTTACCACAAGTCTGAGAACATTATGGGCCTGAAGCTGTTTTTCTTTTCTGCTGCTCTTTCTGTCTCCAACAGGTGATTCATCCCACCTCAATCATACATAACTTTTCTGTTTCCACCACTAAGCTAATCTCGATGGGAAGGTAATATCTTGGTCCCTCTCCAACTTATTTATCTCTTCCACAGCATTCCTTCACACCTACTTGATCTCTTTGCAGGGCGAAGGCCGGAGTCGCCTTTCGGAGACGTCTACAGCCTCGTTCCCGATGAGGCAGACGCGGGGTCAGCTGACTTTTACAGCCTTATTTCAAACTGATGGTCCAAATAACCACGGAGGGAGAAAGTAGCATCCGGATGACTTTCAAATTGGCAACCGCAGTGTTTGCTTACTGCTTCTCGAACCTCTGACATACACGTATACGTACAGCACATAATTGCACCTACGCCACACACACACACACACACACACACACACACACACCACACACACACACACACACACACACACACACACACACACACACACACACACACACACACACACACACACACACACACACACACACACACACACACACACACAGTGTCCTCACTCATTGACAGATTATCCCTCTCCTACAGCTCTGGGAACCACAAGTCACCCAATGTCTGGCCACAATTTTCATTTCAGGCAAAAAAATTGGAGCGGGGGGGGGGGGGGTGAATTATTTTCCGATTTGCTTTGAGTTCTGTCAAAACAGAGTATCTGGTGTCAGTGGACAGCATTTAATAGTAGGTCTTTACTGTTTGTGTGTTTAGAGAGGAAACACAATGACCAACAAGGATGGGGAGAGTGCATTTCTCAGTCTGAAAATGTACCCTGAAGAGAGTTTGTTTTACAGGCCATGTTCCACTATCGTGCACAGCAGGAAAGAAACAGGCCTTTCAGACGGTTCCAAACTGACTCCAAGTGTTCGCCTGAGCTTTGTGTGGTTTTGCCACTTTTTTTTTCTTGCTCGCTCTGATATTTGCTCTGGCTCTCGAAGGGACACTCCACCAGTGAATGATTATTTTCATAGGCAATAACAACGTTTGGCCAATAATCAGATCCGATCGCTGATACTATGCTCACACCACAGATTCCAGTGGGGAATTCTGCAGTTTGCAGCTGCATAAATATATGTTATATACTGTGTAAAACCGGCCACAATGTGCAGGAGACCACATGTTGTCTCCCGTCTTTAGGTTTGACCCTTTCCAATGAATCATTTTCAAGTACTTGCACCTAACTTTTCCATTTTATACCATGGTGTACTTATACATACTACATTTATATGGAGGCCCTGAAATGCAAGCGAGGAATTCTTTTTCAGGTGATGCAGAAGTGTGATTTAGATTATTTCACCCCATATTTATAATTTAGACAGATTATACTGTTTCTACATTTTTAAATCATGAAGTTTTCTGCTGTAATATTTATAATAATAGTCTAACAGAACAAATTAAGGAATTTAGAAAGATCATCCTGACAATAAAACGTGTTTCTGTTTGAAAATAATAAACACAGTGAGAAAATAATTTACCGGTAGATCAGACCTAGAACAAGAATGCACTTTTCCTTTGCTTATGCCTTTAAGGGATTCCATACATTAAAGTGGAACTATTGTAGATTTCAGTAATCTGAAAGTTTACTGGTGACTTTTACGATAAGAATAAAAAAGCAACATGTAAACATTTGTATAAATACAAAGTTAGCTAGAGAATAAATCTGATGTTTTTAACCTTTGGTAGAATACGGAGCATTTACTTGCAGTCGAGTGTTCCTGTATGAAACATGAATATTTACTCAAAAAATCTGATTTGAAAGGCCAAAAAAAGCCCCAACTCAAATTGACCACAATGATTGATGCTTTTGCAATTCAAACACACAGCGCATGAACAGAAAGTACAAGCAGGCAAATGAAACCTTCAGGAGGAGTAGTAATTGGTGAAATGTGGAGGGTGAGGGCAGAGAAGTGGTGATGATTCTAGGTTTGCTTTAAGACAAGGTTTCTTAGAACCAGCAGTTTCACTTTGATGATGGCTTCCCCAGAGGAGTGTATCTCTCTGTAATGCACTGACTACTCCAGGGGCTTGTCGGTTGTCTGCATTTGCAAATGTTATTATTTATTGACATGATCAAATGGCCTGGGATAATGTAGTGCGTGCTGCAACAAGCATGCGTCTTCTGGCAGGTGACAGTAATGGGATATGACGACAGTCCAGGGAAGCCTAATGCGTTATACAGTCCCACCGTTAAATATGCCACTCAGGGCACACATATGATCCTCCCTTTCCTACTGTCCAGATGTTTCGCGCTGGAGTATTTACGAGGGATAATAAGAGCTGCGACTCGGGAGTTTAGGTAGGAGATACTTTACAGTAAATCTGCATGATTTAAGATATTTACTCCCGCAGCTAATAGGAGAGATTAATGGCTACAGAAACTTGGATATGATTAACATCACCTTAGTGCCACAATTGCAGTTAGAATTTATATTTGGAGCAATTTTTCAGGCAGCAGTGGTAGTGTGTTTGGACACATGGCTTTAAGTCACAGCGCTGCAGCTGCAGATCAACACACACATTCCCTCTGAGCTACATAAACACTTCCTGTTCAGTAGGTGACAACTGTGAGGGAGTCTGAGAGAGAGAGGGAAAACAGTCAGGAGACATTAACAGAGTGACAAATATTTAAAGTCACAGCCTGCTGGCGTGACAGAAGCTTCTGGATTACTCCCTGCACACACCGGGCAGCTTCTGCTTCTGTAACCTTCACACTTTGCTCAAAGCACATTTTCACAAGTTCAACACAAACAAAAGCAAGCACTATAAAACTGTGAAAGAAACATTAACATCCTCTATTATAGCTTCAAGTAAGTACACACACACACAACTACAATTGTACTGAAATGGCCGTGTTTGTGAGTCACTGCTTTAAAAAATCCTTTCTGACGTAAAGAAATGCAGGTAATTGTATACAAATATAGTACAATTGAATAAAAAATGAAATATTCATATCATGATATCACAAAAAAAAATGTACGTTCATTTTCCAGATGTTATCATCCAGACGTTTATTCGCTCTTTTTGTAAGTTGACAGATTCTCTCTCCACATACTTAAAGTGTATTCGAGTGAATTCATTTCCCATAAAATACACACATAGACTTATATATAATATTTTGGCTACAATAATCGTGAAGTTAAGTCTGATTTTGTGACAGCCCTAAACCCAATGACCTCAGACCCTTAACTTACTGTTTTTCTCAAGTTGGGGAATCTTTTTTCTTCTTCTTTCTAGGATGGAAAAGCATGCAACCTCCCCCAAAATGCAAGCATGCATCCTGGCTGTTGATAGCACCGCGGGGTAAGCCACCCACAACCTCTCTCAGGACAATCAAACATTCGCCAAATGTATTGCCCACAATCACAAAGCTCTACATTTTCTTCATTTAAGCTTCCGTGACTTCCTCCCATCTGCAGAACGGTGTTTTGTGTGTTTCCACCGCGCTGCTGCCACATTCTGCTGATGCCAACAATCCTCTCCGAGCACCCAGGATTACACTACGAGTGTTTTACGGTAATCAAAAACCATCAGCAACTTAATTGAGCTACTTCTTTAACCTCAACTATGTGAGCCCACCACATTTTCCCCTAATTAAAAGTGTTTTTCTCTCAAAGAAAGGAAAAACATCATCCCTTTCAATGGCAATAAAGAGCTGAAAGTTAGAAACAGCTGTAAAAAAACTAACCTCTCAGTTCTATAAATTCAACCATTGTGGTGTCTTATATTTGATTAAGACACTTATCACACCACCAGGCCTGTGAAGCTCATTAGCTTTTCCACTTGTGCAAAACAATCTGCTGTCATGCTAGCTACTACTATGCAAGTTATATCAGCGATCAGAAAACCCACCGTCCTCGCAGCGGAAACCAGGAACAGCTTCACCTTGTTAAACGCTGTCATAAATCCACATCCGGTGTGAAACAGGGTTCCTCAACTGGCAGGTGAACACTCACATATTCTGTGATCATCATCTTACCGCCTGTCGCATTGTCAACTTTTATAAATCTGATTGATCTGTGGAAAATGTGTCTTTAGAAGCAGTCAAAAACCTGACTCAGGCTAAATACCAAAGGTTTAAAACACTTCTGGTTTAGGTCAAAAGAAAGTTGGCTCAAAGATTTCTTAAACCCCAAACTTTCCAACTTGCATAGAATTCTCTGAGCCCTTTTCTAAATCTGACTTAAATCCTGTTTTCTTGTATTTATGTGCAATAGTTCAAAGCAGAATAACCTTAGCATTTCGTCCATGCCTTCATTTTCCCTGAAAGAGGTGCAGCCTAAAATCTCCAAAATGTCAAGAAATTCCATTAACTGCTGCTAAATCCTGTCAAGATGCTCCACCGTGCATTTATTTTAACAAGCTAAAGCCTGAGTTATTCTTCCCAGGTGTCTCTTTTGGATATTGTTTTCATTTGGAAAACGGTCAGACGTTATCTGCAGAGACTTCTGTCAGCAGAGGCTTCACAGCAGAGAGCTGGACGTCTTATGAAAACACACTTTGTCTCTGTATCTCAGAGATCTTCTTCCTCACGTGCCATCCCAAAAGCTATACTCTATTGTTTCAGGAATTCAAAAAGGGCGTGATTTGTCATATTTTTCCACGAGAAAAAGGGAAACTGATCCAGTCAAGGCAGTGCAATCAGACAACCATGCAAGACAAACACATAGAACCTAATGAATGTGCACCAAAAGGCCTATTAAGCAGAGCAGCATGCCAACCAAAACATGTCCGCGGTGACGCATCACTTACCTCTGTGTGCTGCTGCAGGGTGAAAGTATCACAGAGCTTTGAGGAGTTTGGGACAGACGCTGAAACAGCAGCTCTGCTCAGGGGTTTGGCTTTTATCTGCAGGTGGGTGGAGCTGCAAGAGAGGAGAGGAGAACGCATGAGAAGGAGGGAGAAGCAGAGGAGAGGATGTGTGTGAGGAGGGGGGGCAAACACTACTGGAACAGCATGTTTGCACCGTTAGAAGTTATTATAGACAGAACGCAATGAGCGGTAGAACGACAAGGAGGAAGACTCCTGTGTGACTGTCGCTGCTTTCTTTTCACGCACACAGATAGAGGGCCAACGCTGACAACACGATCCATTCGCAAGGTCCGTTGAGTTTAGAAGCTGTTTATGAGCTTATGATTGTTTCCAACCAAAGAAATTGAATATTCATACGATAGGATACACTTTATTAGTTTTGGACTCCTTCCTGCAATTCCATAGAATATAGAAAATCTAAATTCACTGTGAGCACAGAGAACCTTGGCAGCCGCTCTTATAACTGTTTCCTGTTCCTCAATCAGCCTTCTTTCATCTGGGGGATTGGCACTCATTAGTAATGCTTACAGGTGGATGCACAGCAGTTAGTAACAAATCCATGTGATGTTTTTGTCTAACGTTTGACTTGGTTCACATTATTTTGATCTTAAAAAAGTTGGTGCTATTCATGGGCATCACACACACATATTTTCCTAATGCTATTTGATCTATGTGATTGACTCAAATGTGACGAATCCAGTCATCATACAGTAAATATAATTCATTCGTGGGCATGGCTTTCATCTACCATTTGGCTACAAAATAGGAATGTGTTAATGCTCCAAAACCAACAAACCAGTGGGGAAAGAACTGACAGTCTACGTGGGTTCACTTTTAATTTATTTTCCTGGCCTTTTTCTCTGACATATGGGGTACGGGAACATAGTCAGAGGCATGTCCTTCATCCTCCGTCTAGAGTTTATGGCTATTCCTGAAGCTTTGTTATTTACTTTAGTTATTTACCTCATGCCTCCAAAGGTTTAAGAGTCATTTTTGTATTTCATGGTGATTTTTTCATGGGACGTTACCAAGCGTATTGATATTATAACAAAGGGATTGGTGATCTGGGTGTCCCTCAGACCTTAGTAGACCTACATCTGTCCATTTTGGCTGGTAATACGGACCCCTCGTCATAAAGCAACCTAACGACTTAGACTTAGCAGTCTGCAGACGTTCCCCTTCCTCCAGTGCACCCCTTGATTATTTGCTAAAGAAAGGACTGAGGAAATAATTGAGAGTTTTAAGACTGTGGCTGGCATTTCATTAAAACCTGGGAAAGTGTGAGAATGCAGAATAGAGCCAACTATTTCACAAGCAAAGCAATTACAATCTTCACATCAGTCTGGTTCTATAATGTGACCACGGACCTGGCAAAAAGAATAGTGGTGAAGAGGGTTTTCTCTCTTGGCATTGAGTGAGTTGAAACTAAACTATTCAAAATAATACCTTTTTTAAATGTTTGATTTATCAAGTCTGATTCCTCATGATTCCTGTCGAGCCACCTTAACCGTTTTGTGTCCTTTGCAGAGCACTTTTGTAAGGTTTTGGCTCAAACTTGACAGATGCAGGTCCTGGACTTACAGGATGTCATTAAATGAAACAATGCAAACTTAATACCAGTTACAGCTTTGGGGCAAGAAGACTAATAGTCCTAATGCAATGAGGCAAAACTGTATATATGTTCCCAGTTGATATACGGTGAAATGTTATGCATTATTCAACACGGTCTGCAGTGCTTCCACAGTGAAACAAGCTGGAACCAGTTACTTTGTGCATTGACGACTCTCTCTTTTCATGACCACCCCTGAATATTTCTGTCTGGCTGTAAATCCCTTCGTCTCAGAGGCGCTTTGAATCCGGTCTGCAACTCCAATGTTCCTCTCCATTTTTGGTGGATGGTTTGAGAGTTTGGCAGCCGGATACAAAAGATTCTGGAGACGACAGATTGCCTTCATCCCTTCATCAAAGCCAGCAGGCGGTGTGAAATGCCCAAGGTCTAACACTGATGTCTTCAACAAATAATTTGGCCTTTTCACTTTTTCTTTGAGCTTTTGAATGTGTTTTTCTGACAGATAGAGGAGGCAGAAACAGCTTAATTGGTTGAATATAGCGGCAAACGTGTTACAGGTTAACCCAAGAATGTACCGACATTTACCTCAATAGGAAACTTGTGCTTGTCAAAGTTGGCTTTTACTTTGAAAATGAAGGGATGAGTGAAGCAAAAACAAGAGGAAAACAACAAAGCTCAGTTGATACTAATAACACAAGTCGTTAATGTTATTAGTATCACATGTGCTTCCCCCCCCTGACCAATCAGGTGTCCCTCACAGCTGATTTAAACTCAACCAATCAAACTGAGCTGTAACTACACAATATGTTTTTTGAATAAGCCTTATAAAGAGAGCTACCTGACACCAATTAAAGGAAGACACAACAGTTGAATAGCATTTTTAAATAATATATATATTGTTTTAAATGATCTTTTTGGCACACATTTTAGAGGCAAGGTTCAAAATTATTCTTTCATTTGTTGATGTATTAAAGTCAAGGTTTTAACTTACATTAAAGTAGTCTAACTGTCTAACTATGTGCTTTTGAGTTATCGGAGCATCATCTCTCTCTGAATCAGTTCAGAGACAGTGCCACAGCTGTCTTACTGCTCTGAGAACATTTCCAAGAACATGCATTTAATTAAATCACAAGAAATCTGCTTTGGATAGACGGTAACCATGCTACACATGTGCTTGTAATATCAACATGTATTTCTCTGCTGGCACAGTAACACGCTACACAAGAAAGGAGCTTGGAGAACTCTGTTGTCACTTTAATTTAACACCAACTGCTTCATACAGACTCTACTCTGCACATAAAATACATGCAAACGTGCCACTGGAGCTGCACTTTAATTGTTTCATTTTTTAATGGTGAACTTTTAAAGAAAATATAGAACCCTCACAAACATCAATCCTGTGCTAAGAAACATTTTAAGTACTCAGAAGTTCAAATATTATTATTCACATGTCACAGTGAGTAAGCCATTCACTGTGGCATGCGACGTGGGACAGCACCCTAATACATAACAGAAGTAGCGCAGCAGTATACTGTTAATTCATTTGGTCACTGCGTGTTTTCCTTTCAATGAAGTCAGGCCAATTTTAGAGCAAACCAAAGCACGCCAGCCCCCCGTGATATCACAGGAAAAGGATCATTAGGCGCTGACCGCCTCTACCAACATTTCCTGTGGTCATTAAGGCTGATGTGTGGACAGAAAACAGCAGAGGTGTACAGGGCCAATCACCTTTCCTGCTTTGTCTGTCACTACTGGAAATACAGTATGTCGAGGTGTGGTGTGTGTATGCATCCCAGAGTGGATGTTTTCCTTAGAGTGACGCCATCATCTAGGTTCAGCAGACCGGGAATAATACATGATTATACACCAATTTGCTGGCTGAAGTTAATTGGTTGGATTAGCTTCGATTTGATGAAATTTACAGGGCAATTTTACACAGTTATACTACTAGATGTGATCAGTTTGAACGGTAAAATGTTTCCACATGTGTCGTTATCAACTTTTATCCCTTTTCTAACAACGTTATTGTTGGCATCCAACATTTTCCATTATGCAACACCAAAAACAAGTGGCATCATGGGAGTTTGTCATTGAGTCAGCTAACCACAGTTAGTATCCCTTCATTAATCAAAGTTAAGGTTTTCTGACGGTGAGTACAACCTTGAAAAACTCTAAATACAGCAGTCTACCTTCTAACATGTGTTTAGCTTGGTTCTCTGATAGACAATCCAGACATCACTAAATCATTCAAATCTAATATATTTATACAAAAAGCTTTGTTCTACAATAAGGATAAACTGGAGTATCTCTCTCAAGTGTCAGGTCATCAATATTTAACCAAAAATGAGTGGAAATAAAAACAAAACTGCGACAGAAATGCTAAGTGTACCAGCAAAATGTACTTCCTACCAACATGAAGAGACATACTCAATAAACAGCGCAGAGTTAAAGCTGCAGAAGCTAACATATATATATATATATAGACTTTTATTCCTTAGTATGTTCCAATCTCCAGGGAGCCAGCATTCTACATTTCCCAAAATGCAACTCAGTGAACCTTTCTTTGTCCACAAAGACTTTATAAAGGGAAAGTAACCACATTCAGGTATTCCAAAATTCTCAATCAATAGAGCTTCTGTGCACAGTCTAATGTCCCTGTGTTTCTAGGCAGGAGTCTAACAGGATTAGACTACTTGCATTTATTGTGAAAAATAGCAAACATAATGCATAAATGTTTACTTGTTCTACTTATTTGCGGTCAGTCAGCTACCAACTCCTTTCTTATATCCACTCACACAAATGCACACCTCTGAAAACACTCGCCAAAACCCTTTAGAAATAAATTGGACTGGAGTAGACAGTCATTTGATTAAAAGAACGGGGAAAATGTGTCACTCTTAGTATAACTCCTCACTGTGTACTTCTACCAGAATATGCTTTTTTAACTTATGAATAAAACAGGATGTTCTTGTTGCCTTATAATATCTATACTGGCGTTAAAACTGAGACCTTTTGCACGGCATCTTCACAGACTCATTTTCCATATTTCATCCACATTATGTCAACTAAGTTGTCATCCGACTCTGAGGCCTTGGACGTGAAGGTAATATCTGTCAAGATTACTGCATGTGTACGAGAAAGTACCGCAGCTCTAAGAGCCTCCCTCTCAAATGTTTTATTTATTTGGCTGGAAGTAAGAGCCAAACGCTTTGGTTTGCATTTCATTCCTGATTTGCCCTTGGAACGGGGGCCAAATATGTGTGGACTGGAAACCCCTGCTGTTTGATGGTGGGAAGTAAATTAATCAAATTTAGGTGGATGCAAAAAAATAGAGCTTGCTCACAGCTTGAAAAGCCCTGAGTCACTGTCTGTTCATGTAGTGTGCAGTCTGGCCAAAGTCTTTGCACACTAGGTTTGAGCTCAAAGTGGGACATTTTTCCACCTACTT